GAGTTGAGCTAACCCCCCCCCCCCCCTGCCAAGACCTGGTAATGCGGACCACACCCCCTTTTCCCTGCTATTGGGCCCGAATATATTTAGAGCGCAAGAACTGAGGCCTGATACTAACTAGACTATAGAGACGTTATTAAACAAAGAGGCAAATTTTGTGACTAATAATAGGTATATTAAAACCAAGCAGCTGCCCTTGTATTATTTGACTTTTCAATGCACCTAACAAGGAGCAGAAAAAGAAACAAAAGCAGAAAGTCACATATGAAGTCCATCTTGCCCATTCTGCTGTCATGTCCTTTCCCGGCGGTAGAGTTAGAGATTAGTCAGCCACCACTCTGTCCTGGGTTCTGCAGCCATGAATAAGTTCACCAACCCACCCACCTTTCCATATCCTCAGATATAATCATGCCGACCACAAGAAGTCAGACCAAGCCGTCCGATACCAGCCGAATACCAGATATCGACCGAACTCGCAGCCAGGGAGTTCCTAGTCCTATAATCGAATGGCTGGACTTGGACTTTTCTGAGACGTCACCTATAAAGCAAATGAACTGGAGAAATTCTCTGAATGAGATTCAAGGGTTCGAGGGATGTCGCCACATCACTTTCGCATGCCCCTTCGAACTGCCCTATAGGCTATGGATTATCATTCGTAAGGACTCGAATGAAGATAAACAGAAGAGAGGCTGACAAATGTATATATAAGAGTGGTTGTCAGAAATACACCGAAATGACTTCTACGGAACAGGCAGAATTGCTGGCAACGCTAAAACGACTCTTTACCAATATAGCGATAATGTCTATTCCATTTATCGAGTTGACTACTGTATTGGCAAGATGATACACGCGGGCTTCCCTATGTATCCCGATCTAAGACAAATCCACGAAGTCTGGATGGTTTACTTTCCTATCTACACACTGGACTCTGAAAAGAAGCGAGAGCGTCAGCTACCTATCCTATTGAATTTCTATGGGAGAGATGAAGAGCCTTCTAATCCGATGTCCGGGATTCTTAGTCACAACATCGCCTGGCTATCGGGGAGATCAATTACCAAGGGGTGCAATGTCAACGCCTCGCATGGTTTATGGAGTGGAAATCTAAGGAGGCGGAAGAGCTCTACAAGACGACCGTACGATGGGTGAGAGAGGATAAAGGCAAATCCTGCAAGCCACAACTAACACTAAATATGTTCATTGATGACTTGAAGAGCCTTGGAATGGTCGGGTATGAGACGTGGCACGCTCACTTTAAGGATATCCGAGACGCGCTCGATACTTAGTGCTACTATAGATAGCGTACCGTACCAACCGAATAAAAACTCACTCGTCCCACGGGAATGTAGAGCAATCATCTCCGTCTATGTCCATACCGTCCGTGTCAATCGTTTCATTTCCAGCCTTGCCCCGTAGGAAAGTGCGCCATGACCCATGTCCATCCTCTAGCAGAACCGACCGTCGAGTAAGGGGTCCTGAGACCCTCTTACCCGCTATAACTCGAGACCAATCATCTCCATTGAGGTACATCGCTATGGCGAACCAGGCATAGTTATCAGCGTTAGTAACGGTCTTTTGCCCCCCCTCGACCTATGCCAGATATTCAGTCAAAACCGGTCCATACGCCTTCTTAGTGACACCGTCTTTCGGGTCCTCGACTAACACATCGGTGATCGCTATGGCGAGTCAGTATTTTCAGAGTAGTCCAATGTTCAGGTGCTTCCTTACTACTTCTTGTGGTCATATGCATCAGTTCGTGGAGGAAGGTAGCTGGCGACGACAGAGCCACCGCCATGTTAGTCCCGGCGGCAATCGTTCTCTGCCCACTTCTCCAGGGTTACAGGGTATCCTTGCGTCTGGGATAACTGAAGTACCGAGGACAAAGGGTAATTGAGAGTTTCTTGTCTTAGGATGTTGTGAAAGCCATGGTATCGCCTTGACACATGACGGTGGTAGGGCCATACTCTCTAGACCGAGGGGACCAGGTCAACCATTCGATGTCCGCTAAGAAAAGGAGTTTCTGGTCAGTGGAAGCCCCCGGTCTCTGTGGTTCTCGGCTGCTAGGTACGGTTGACAGACTTTAACAGCTATCCGGTCGGTTTTCCGGTCTGTCTATTATAAACATATCGAGTCCTCCAACGCCATTTCTCCGAGCAGAAAAGAGAAGGGAAGAGACCACTGAATTGCCTCTACGAGTCATCAATAACCTCTTGCAAGTTCGCTACATATCCTCATCAGCTCTCTAGCTCTCATGAACCTCCATCTATCGCAGTAACATACCCTTCACCCAGGAGAATCGAGCAGCGCTCCCGGCAGAAACGGTGTGCGTCGATTCGTCCTCCTGGATACCAAAGAAAGTGAACAGGCTCGCTCTCACAGTCGCATCGGAGGTATAACCATCCATCGCAGCGACTACAACCCGAGCCATATCAATCGCCTCCCGATAGACTGCGTCCAGGTCCATGTCGATATCTTCGCAAGACCCGCCCATGTTACCCGTGCGAGTGATCTCTCCAGTACCCTGTTCGATCCTGAAGCGCGTGTTCACATTAGGTTGAGCGAATCGCGGACATTGGATCTCATGCAAGCGTCCGCTCGGACACTCGATGACCCATAGGCCACAGAGCTGCGTGTTGTTTACTTCCGCATTGAGATGTTCTATAGTACGCCGACTCACGTTCGCCCCATCTGCTTTTGAGCTTATTGAGATCCACCGCTCTGACATACTAAATCGAGCTCGGATTAGTGACAGGTAAACAGCTGCTGCCCTGCTCAAGGTAAAGTATAACCACTATCCATAGTCAATTCAGCCCCGTTAACGAAGGAACTCGCGTCGCTAGCAAGAAATAGGTAAGCTCCTTTAAGCTCTTTCACACCACATAAACATCGGTTAGCCTCTTTCAACGCAAAATTTGGTTTCTTTCAGCCCCGACCTTGTCGCCCTATGACTACCATTCGACATTCCCTTCGGCATATAAATCCTAATTTAGGCGGACAACTGGAGCCCGCTTGCACCGAGCGATCTTTCTTCCGGCAAAAGTTGATGTTAAGCAACAAAAAGTAGGACATAAGAGAGCAAACTGGGAAGAAATGAGAAAAATAGCAAGAGATACCTCCATATAGCCCTGATTGATGTAGTCATTTTGCATGAGCCAGTCATAGGCAGACGAAGCGAGGAGTTAAGAACGAACTTGTTGGCACATAGCTTCTAGGGATTGCACGCCGATGATAATATCCCCTTCGTGTTGATTTCGGGGTCTGCGGAAGATGCTTTCAAAGTTGAGCACTAAAGGTGCACCATGAATTTGCCCATCTCGGTACGTAACTCTCTGTGTTGGTCGGAAAGAGGTATCCACGCGATTTCGGCTCTGATGCGGATTTGGGAGAGGTCTTTCGGACCATACCTCCATGTCTACTCGCCATGTTGGCTTGCGAGTAGTGGAGATGATAACGACGCACTTGGTAAGATGGTCGGAGTTGTTATACCACCACTGGGCGTCCTTGCACAGCTGGGAGTAGGATTCTGATACGCCAACTTCAAGGGCCAGGCTAGGGAATCCCACCCCCCCACCCATCCCATCAAAGACATCGGCTGGAGACAGCCACCAGTCAGGCTCCTTGGCCACAGACGTCCCTTCAGTTCTTGGTGATGGGCGGGATACGAACGCCCCATTGTCATCGGAAAGGCCCATTAAGAACAGCTGGGTAGCTAGGGCTCGAGAGAAAACGCCAATGATTGAATCATGTTGGTGGCCTGGCATGACTTTAAACAGTACTTCGCCGCGAAGATACGAGATTGTCACTCGCACACCGGGAAAGAGCTCTTGGTCTTCTTTAATTTTGGAGAATAGTTCTTTTCCCGTGTCTTGCAGATGTATGAACTGGGACGACGGGGGGTTGGGGCTGGAAAGTTGATCTTTTAACTGGTTTAGTGCCGCTTTAAGCTGTCGGAACGATGGAGCAGTGAGGATTCTCGCGTCTGGTGGAACAGAAAAGTCGTCGAGATCAACGCAGTGAGAGGAGTTATCGAGATCGCGTGAATGGAGCTCAGACGAGATCGTTGAGCCTGTGGTCGTGGTCGTGATAAAATGCGCCGAGACAGAGCTGAAGTCAGAAGCAGCGTCGCGGCGACGGTTTGTACATTGAGGGGTGGGCGCTGTTTCATGGAATGGCATGTCTGCTCGGGAGGTAGTGAGAAGCTCGTCAGGCAACACTTCGGTGACTTGAAGGCTGGTTGATGTGCTGTCGGTGCATTGAAGGGAGTGAGAAGAAGATGAGGTTTCAGCGAGCTTGGGGCGAGTCGACGTGGGTTCGCGAGAGCTCATCGTGGCTTCCTTATTCGTGAGTCCTGCCTGAGAGTCCATTTTGAAAGGGCAGCACGGGCAAGTTGATCGACCAGACAAAATAGAAGAAGGAACGGGTGCGCAAAGTGTCCAGTGGAAGTTCTAGGGAGGATGGATGGTGTTGGGAGAGATTTGTCAGAACTTCCTTTCCAAGGTTATTACTTATATGGGCATCGGGAGCTAGGGCCCTGGGTCGGC